AGTAGTAAACCAATGTAAAACTACTCAATGTAATTAAAATAAATAATAACAGTTATGATACAAAATTTACAATACTTTTAAACAATACATGTACATGTGTATGATGAAACTAGAGAACATTGATAAAACAATACTTACATCAACATTAGACATTTCAGGATGATCCTCACCAAGTGTTAACATTATTAGATACATAACTCTATACAGTAATCTCAACGCCACAACATTCCTCTCAGCCCCACAGCAATACTAAGCCAAATGGAACTATATAAAGAAAAAAATCAGTGGTGGGCTTAGTCGTTGAAATTATCATGATCATGGTTTCCTGCAGAATTTTGACATAATGCTCTCAGTGAATTTTTAAAGTTGTTCCAAATGTTGATAAAATATTTCAGAATGTATTTTCCCAAAATTTAATCAAACATTGCAAAGGTAAAACTTTTATTAAACTTTGTGATACATATAGAAGTTCTAATACTGTGAAAAAATTTTAAGCAGACTCTAGTCAAAATTTGGATTTTTATAAATTTTAAAACTTGCTTTAAAATTGGATCAAAGACATGGTACATGGTATTTGGCCAGAATTTGCCAAAAACAACATAGGAGAAAATTCTGTGTTTATAATTTTCTCATAACATGTCCATATGTTGTACAGAAAGTTAAAGCTCATTCTGATCCAAATCAGATTTTCATTAATTTTTAAATTTTGCTAAAAAAGGGGCCAATACCAAAGAATTTGGTTTTTGACCAAATTTTGCCAAAAATTGCTCAAGAGACATGTTTCTGATACATATACATGTCCTAATGATGTTCCAAAGTTTGAGCTCATTCTAATCAAATTTGGATTTTTATGAATTTCAAACGCTTGTCAGCTCATAAAGCATGCCTTTTAGCTCACTTAGCATGCTTTGTGGGGAACTAATAGTGCGATAAATTTATAATAAATATTGTGTGTGTGGCCCGTTATTAATAACTAACATAGGCTGATATAGAGCTGCAGTGGTCCACTCCTAGCAGTCTCTCATACATAATGACAGTTTTGTGCTGAAATGATATTGCCTGAAGATGAAAAAAGAGAGAGATTAAATGTAGCAAGTCAATTTAAAATTAAATTTCAATTGAGTAAATAATTAATTGCTACCTTGTAAAGAAATTAAAATATTAATAAAGTTTTAAAGCGTTTTGAACTAAAGTCTGTTGAGTTTCATTTGACTTAGTGATTTTTAACGACCTGGGGGTGTAGTCCCCTTGTCGTTTCTACATGTATAATTGATTTCACCCACATGTGATGCTTGCATATTTGTATGTCCACACTTACATTTCTTTTATACATGTTGTATTGGAGAAATAAGAAAATTCATAAGCCTTAGCAAACACCCTCCCACGCTCCTTTAAGTAGTCAGAGCAAACAAAATGGTGGCTTACACATAGGACAAAGTTATAAGTTTTTATGCAAAAGAACATATGTACAGTCTCAAGACCTTTCTTGAAGGATTAGAAGGTAGAGAAAACCTCTTTAAGTTTTAATAAGAACCCAGCTGTACATGCAAGGTGGTGAAATCAATTATAGTAATACTTTTACACTGTTACGCTTGTTTATAATAACTTTTGATAATCCAGGAATTTAGAAATTTTGTTTGTGCCA